ACTCAGACAAACTTTGATGGGACTCGAAAACTTTTCATTCGCCGTCACGAGAGAGAGCCAAGCCCGGTCGTCATTAGCCGAGAGCGAGCGCGGGGGGGGGGGGGGGGCTCGGTATGTGAGGAATGATGCGAGGCGCACTCTCGCCGGGCGGCCGCAGGGCACAGGCAGCGCCTGCCGTTGATGACAATGAGGCGAAAATAGTTGGAATGTACGAAGCGATCTCGACGGCTGGCTCTATGGCTCCACCACCCCCGCCAAGCTCGCTGTCACTACTGCATCGTTCGGGAGCCGTCGGGAATGACAAGTGCCCCGGCCCTACCCCTCCACTCGCCTCTTCGTTGTTCTCTCCTCTCCACGAGTTTGTTGCAGCGGCAGCAGCTCTCCCGGCCTCTCCGCTGCCGAGCCCCGGGGCGTTATCCCAGAGGGACAGTTGTTACAGAAGAGAGAGCTGCTTTCCCCCGCAACCTTCTCTCCCTCCACCCACCTCCTCCCTCTCCGTCTCCCCGTTCCACCATCCCAGGTGGAAGCAGGAAAACGACCATTTTTAAACGCAAACACATTGCTATTCCGGCGCCCCCGTCGTGCTGCTCGCGCCCCACCCCCTCTCATCCCTCAGTCGCGCCCGTCTCCTCTGTGGCAGGAATATTACGCGACCTTTCTGACAGCGGCCATCTCTGAGCAGATGGGCGCGCTGATGGCCGTCCTGATTTGACGCCCCCCCCCCTTTTCCCCTGCGCCACCTGGCGTCCCCTATCCACCTCCTCACCCTGCAGCTTTAATATTTTGCACGACGCGCACACTACTGGCTGCTCTGCTGAATTACCGCTTCGCCGTGCGCGACGTCGGCCATATTTCAGCGCGGCGCCGCGTCAGGCGTCTCTCTGCCGCGCGTCCATAGGCCTCCCCATGTGCCCTCCTCCCTCCCTCCCCCCCTCTCTCTCTCCCTCTCTCTCTCTCTTTCTCTCTCTCATACACACACACTCTACCGCACTCCCCGAGCTACCCCCGTCTACCGACAGCTGCAAGATGGCGTATGGCGGCTCGTCCCGGGACCCGTTAGCGAGAGAGCACGAGAGCGAGTACGCTCTGTGTGTCTCTGTGTGCGAGAGCGAAAGAGAGAGAGAGAGAGAGAGAGAGAGAGAGAGCTCTCGCACTCCCTCTTCAACACAACGGAGACCAGCCTTCCCTCGCACATCACGCGTGAGTTTCGTTCCCCAACATTTGCTTTACGATTTTCCTTCCTATGTCGTCGTCTGTTTGCCTATCCGTCTGTGTGCCTCTCCTGCCCCCTCCTTTCGTGTTCTTCCCCCCACCCCCTCCCCGGTCTCTCTCTCTCTCCCTCTGTGCTTTACGTGGTGTGACACCATATGCGGCATACACACACACGCACACACTCACAGAGAGGTTACCCGAGCCCGAGCTCTGAACAATATGGTGGAAGTGCGCACACATACATACACAAACACTCTCTTACATACACGTCTATCCGTGTTCCGTCAACGAAACTGAATAGAGAGCGATAGAGAGTCTCTCCCTAGCGAAAGGTCGCTTTTAGCATAGACAAATCATCGGCATAAGGACGGAAATGTGCGCGCGGGCGTACGTACAGATCTACCCTTTTCTCTCCTTGCATTGCTTCGACGATAGCGCGGCGGGACGCAAGACGCAACCTAGACCTGGAGGCCCTTGTGTATTTGTGTGTGTGTGTGTGTGTCGAGGTGTGTGTGTGTGTGTCACGTGCCCCGCTCCCAGGCGAGTGCAAAGGGAAAACGACGCCCACATCTCATAGGCCATGCTGATGTCTCGCGGGCCCGCCTGTGGGGTAGGCAGACCCGTGGCGCGGGCGCGCCGGGCGGGACTGCCTATCCTCCGCATGACAGGGGCTCCGACACTTACACCGCGACTGCTCTCTCTCTCTTTCTCTCTCTCTCTCTCGAATCGCTCCCTATCTCTCTCGGCCGCTCATTCTTAGGCTCCCTCCCCCCACCTCCCCCTTCTCTCTCTCTCTCTCTCTCTCTCTCTCTCTCTCTGTCCAGTCGCGTCCGGTCCCACACTGCCAGCGCCGCCACCGCACGACAGGGGCCGCCTCTCACCGAGAAATTAAGGCGACGTCCTCCGCCGCTCCACGCACAGAAACCTTCTCCCCCCCCCCCATCTTCCTTACCGCCGTCCTACTCTTTGAAGGCGGCGGTAATCCTAGCCCGAGCCAGCCCTGGGCCTCGCCGTGCTCCACGCCCAGCACGGCGGTGGATGCCGTGGGATCATAATAAGAGGTTGAAGGACGGCACCGGGGGAGAGGGGAGGGGCGGGGAGGGGGGGTCCTTGTTCTCGGGGGCTCCTGTTGAAAACTCAGGGGCGGTGCAAATACTGCGGGGCAAAGGCGACCCCTCGCCACCGACGGAGGAGTGAGGGGGGGGGGGGCATGTGGGCGAGGAAGCTGCAGCGGGGAAGGAGAGGAGAGAGAGGAGGTGAAATTTCATTACTATACAGGGTGACACCTTGTGACGGCGGCGCGGCGCAACGCCAGTGATGATCCCGCGGGGGGTAAAGGGGGGGGGGGGGGGTGGATTGGGGATTGCGACGCTGCGGGGGGATGAAGTGGATTCGAGAAGCAGGGAAGTATGAAATGGGGAGGGTGGTGAGAGTAGGGGACCCCCACTCGCGCGTGCGGCGGGCGCGGGGACCCGTCTCGTTGGCCTGTCACGTGCCGCTGACAAGCGTGGGAAGGGCGGGCGGACGGAGCGACCGCTGCGTCGAGCGTGGCGGTAGCGCCTCGTGGTCAACAACCCGGGCCCCCCGCCCGGCACGACTATACAAGGATAGAGAGGCAGAAGTAGTAGTAGTAGGTCGCCGGGAGACTCCTTGCTGCTTGCAGCCGCCTGGCGGGTGGGGTGGAGCGAGGGGTGGGG